AATTCTTCTCTCTCTCTCTCTCTCTCTCTCTCTCTCTCTCTCTTTGCTTTTTCTGCTTCGTTTTTTTTTCTACTCGAATATTATTCATGTCTTAGTTTGTGCTTTACTCGCGTTATTCCGTTTCCAGCTCATTTCGCCAACCATTTCGCATCAGTTCTTGCTTCTTTCTCTCGAAACTTGTGGAAAAATTAATGATACGGCTTACGTTTTATGATTGTCGTAAACAAGGATAATATTCAATTAATGCGATGGTTTAAATTTATCGTGACGTTAACTGCATTGCCCATTAATGTTAATAATGATAAAAAAAATAAATAAATATTTGTACTGGATATGAATTACACAAATTCATTAGATTATTCTCTTATTATTGTAAACGAGACCGCAATCTTATTTTTTATTGAGTTAATTGTTAATTTATTAATTTATTTGTCTTATTTATAAATACATATCACAATTTGATAAAAATATTTATATTTTATTTTTACAGAAAGACAAATGAGTTAATTTTGATTAGAATAAAAGGAATATCTTCGTATCTATATCAAGAAAGTTTTTCGATAGCAATAAAATTCGAATATTTTATTAAATTCTCATATTTTCATATTTAAGGATATGTATTTTTCATATATGTATATTATCACGTGATATCATAAAATGATTATTGCATATTTTATTTTTAGTATCAGTTTTGCAATACTTTTCTGAATTTTAGTCATTTATCGCATAATGATTATAATTATCAGTATTTTTATAAAGTTGCGAGAGAGACTCCGTTTTTCTGCGTCTTGTAATTGCACTAGATGGTTATACTTCGGCGCCAATGCGTCTTCTGTAATCAGAGGGATAATCTGCCGCAAGATAAAAGCATCGTCGAGACATACCATCGAGCATAATTATATCGTAATAACGCGACTATTGCCATGGCTATATATCTACTATTATCATTTCTGTCGGTTCACCAGTGCGCTCTGTCACGCAGGTAATATTTATTACGCTCAAGAAAGGGAGGAAGGAAACAAAGAATGACGAGGAACAGCGAGATATATGGTGAGGGGTAGATTGCGGCACAATTTTGCTGGACATTCCGCGGACGGCCATGACGGCTTTCTCGGCTACCGACATATATATCTCCTCGTACCCGAGCAAAAACTAATTACTTTAATCGAACTTACTTTTCGGTCAGTCGGATATTTTCACAATATTAATGGTTTATTATTAATTTTATGTTTACATAAAATGTGCTTCTCATGTGAAATATTTCATGTCATATATTTGTTAATTAATTTTGGTTTTTATTATATTATATTTTTTTGAAAGATATCCTCATAGTTATTTCGAGTCGCTTTAATTTTTATATTATCTTTTTAATCTATATCTATATTGTTTAATATAATAAGACACAAGATAGATCTTTTACGTAAGTTTTGCAAAATACTAAAGGATATAAAATTGAGAAGATTTGTATCTATGTAGGAAAATATTGTGATATATATTTTGTCGAAAAAATATCGAGATATTACATAAAAAAAGAAAAGAACTTACCTTGATTACTTCTCTTAAAATGAAGGCAATATGTTCCTCTTGTATTCTTTTATTACTTGCAATCATCCCGCGTACGAAATCCATGACTGTTCCTCCTTCGCAAAGCTATAACATGTAATGTTATATTGTTAATCGATTGTAATAGATAAAGATAAAAATAATACGAATTATAAAATAAAATCTAAATTAGATTAAAAAAGGATTAATAGTAAAATTATATCCATTTTTATCAAATTTGAGTTTAAATTTGTTATGACAGACAATTCATTGTTTATATGATGACTGTTGTGCGATGAGCGCTATCTTTTTCATGTAATTGTATATTATGAAATTGATATATGTTAATTGAAATGCCATTCTAATTGCGGAAATAATTTGAAGATAATGGAATTAGAATTAAGTTCTTTCGAGCATCTGCATTCATTTCCTGCTTTTGAATTATTTTTTAGAATAATTTTTTAATCTTTATTTGTCTTCATTTCTTTCTTAAATTTACATAAAATTTTTATATTAATTCCTTAATAATTCCTCAATAATTTTTTGAGAAAAATTTTACATATGAAAGTTAATTTGTTCAGGAAAACGTTTTTATCATCTATTTTTCCAATTAAGCACCTGGAGAACTTATAATCTAAAAGTGTAATAGACTTCGCGCATACGTCTACAATTACATGAAACGTACGGTAATTATAAATAAACGTGATCCAAGGTCTTTCCAGATTATCCCGTGTGAATCATAAATCGTAGTGTTTACTCTTTTGTCTTAGACTTTCTTAGATTTAATATACATTTCTTCAAATTTTGTATTTTTTTAAACCTAGAAAGATTAATTTCATTCTTCTTAAACAGAATAATACACGCATAAAATATTTGCTAAAATGTTGTAGCTCGACTCGAATAATATTTTAATACGTGTTTATAATTTTCTGTATATCTCCTTTCCCTCCTCTCGAATACGAAATGCTCGAAGAACTCTTCTTCAAATTTCATCTGCAATGCGGTGAAGTCGCGAGAGGCTCTACGTTCGCGCCAATAAAACTTGCTCGATATGAAATACCACCGGCGATAAATCTTCACTACATTGTCGTATGTATTTCTCTTTCTCTTTTCCTTCCTCGAGATCTCGGCGCTCGTTTCTGCCCGAGCCGACTTAAAGCCGATTGACTTACAAAACTGCTATTCGGTCTGCACACCGTCGACGAGATGCGCCGCGTCTCCTTTCTACCGGCACCAGCCTCCGCGGCCCGTTGTGCCTTTATTGCTTGTAATCTCCGGCAACGAGCAATCAGCGAGCTTAACGTAGCGACCGGCGACTCATTACGTTTCTTCGTTGCGGATACTTAGCCCGTCTTCGCACGCGAGTCTTCGCTTGCCGAAGTGAATCGTAAGATTCAGGCAGATTTCGTCGTTTTTTGCCGTGTTCACGCGTCGCCTTTGAATCTGTTCACGACATGAGGGGAGAGAGAGAGAGAGAGAGAGAGAGAGAGAGAGAGAGTAGT